TTAATATCTTGAGCTTCTTCTATAGCAATTACTTTCATATCAAATCTCTTGGGAAGAGACCTGAGCATCTTTCTCACCAACTTATCTTCAGGTATTTTCTCTCCTAAAGCACCGGAGGCATTAGCAATTTCAAGAATATTCATATGGAAGTCATTTATACTTTCATCATCATTCATTCTCAAATTCTCAATTTTTGTAGTGAGCAGTTGAAGTCTTGACATCTTAACTTTGGATGTGCCTTCATGAGTAGATTGAATAATCTCCCATGAATCCTTAGCAACTTCACATGTATTCACCAATCTGAAAATATTTTTGTCAATTCCATTGAATATAACATTCAAGGCTTTAAAATTTCCAAGAGCAATTTCATCTTCTTCCTTAGACCAATCTTCTTTCGGTTTTAATTCAGAAGTAGGTTCTCCATTCTCTCCCAATTTCACAGGGTGTTTCCATCCTCTTAAAATAACTTTCCAAGCTCTATTGTCTAAGGACATTAAAAAGGCAACTATACGTGGTTTCCAGTAGTCATAATTGCTTCCATCCAAAATGGATGGTCTGTTCACAAATCCTCCTTCCTTGTCCATAGTACCAAAAAGTATCTTCCCTGGATCTCACCTAGATAAAGAGCAGGATGTCTGCTCTGATACCAATTGAAATTCTGGTATCAGATATGTGATGTCGAATGAGATGTCACGACACAAATATCTATTTGCAAGTAAGGTGCAATAAAATCAAAAGCAGTAAAAACACAAGAGATTGTTCACTCAGTTTTAGTCTACAACAACACCTACTATGGGGGCTACCAAGCCATGGACAAATTTACTAAATAATATCAATTCATAGACCCTCAATAAACAACCAGTTTATGATCTAATCACTTAATCAGTACCCAAGCTAAACTTCTACCTAAGACTCACCTAGGTATGAGACCATCTTCAAATCTTCTTAAAAGCTTATGAATGATACACAATTAACAACCCAAATAACAACTCAAGTATTTAAACTAATACTTAGAGTATATTATAAATAAAAAACCTATACTTCTAATCAGAAGAAAAAAAGTATTCTTCTTCCAAAGTTGCTTGTCTTTGAATAAGGAAGCAAGTCCCTATATATGCGCATCTGTGGGCTTGGGCTTAAAAACAAATATTCAAATCTTTTGAATATTTCCATAAAAACAGACTAAGATAAAATTCATTCAATTTAAAAAATATTCCTCCATATTTTTTGCAGCCTGTAAGTCACAAATCCTGAATTGTGGCACGCATGAAAACAAGAAACAAAAAGACTTAACTGATTTTGGGTTGAGATCAGTTCATTAGGCAGATGTCAAGATATCTGCTTTGACATCATTCAAAACAATTTTGCTCCAAATGTTAAGACATTTAGCAAAACACTAACAAGTCATTGTTTTACCAAAATTGCTGCCAACAAACACTTACACTTATTGTTATTTAAATTCTTAGTCAAGTGTATAGGACGCACTCTCTAATATAATAACGTAGATTTATCTTCCACATCTTTTTTCTTATTATGTATCAGCTCCGAGGATGTAATAGCGTAGGACATTTATATTCTCGCATATTATATTTTAACTATTAGTAATTAGGATCTGCATGACAAGAATTAAAATCAAATATAGACAACCTTAATCTCAAGATAAAACAATTGGAAAAAAACACTCTTCACACTTACACCTTTAGGGTAACCTCTCTTGTTGCCTTACGAATATTGGCCATGTCTCTCGAAAGTAGAGATACTTTAGCAGAAGTCCCTCAATACAATCATCATAGTCCCTACGATACAAAAGATCATAATCCATCGAGTTTTCTATTAAAAGATGATCTAGTCCCCCGATGACCCTATGAGCAAAATGATGATAGTCTCTTCAATACAATTGCTAAAGTATCCTTACATGTTACCTTTTATGACCATATGATGACCATACGCTTGTCCCTTCACATCCAACAGATAATATTACCTACCAACTAATGGTATGGATAATAATATCTCCAAAGGAAAAGGAAAAGGAAAAGAGTAGGAAAGACAAAAACCTGGTGGGTAGGACTCTTGAATGCTTGCTCACAAACAAAACATTTTCTCACATCTTACTTTCAAAACAATAAATATTTTCAAAAACACTTTATATACATTCTTGAGGACTGATACAAGAATTATTACAAAGTCTGTCTTACATTGACATTTCAAAACATTTTCAAACAATTCACACAAAAAGCAAGCGAGCTAAGCAATTAAGAGCCCGTAGATAACTACGGATGTAAAGGATGCTAACACCTTCCCTTTACATAATTTATCTCCCAAACTCAAAATATTTTAAATGTCTTTCCTATTCTTTTCACCTTTCTTAAGTATTGGATAAAAGAAAAATCGGTGGCGACTCTTGCTAACCGCACATTTGCGATAACACTAAAAAGTCAGTTCTCTCACCGTATTACAACAGCATAATTGAAAGTAAAAATTTACAGTGCCAACATTTTGTTTGTTTTAATATATTACTCCCTCTGTTCTTTTTTAAGTGTCATTTTAGCATACAATTTTTCAACTAAGATAGTGAATTGTTAGAGTTATTTGTCCTATTATACCCATTTATTTTCTTTTTCCAAATAAATTCAATTATACACTTTTTCTCTTTTTCTAATAACTAATTAAGAAAATAATTAATTTTATGAAAAATGTGAAGTGAAGTTATTGAAAAAGTAAGGGTATAATTGACAAATTGTAACATTAAATTATAAAAACGACACTTAAATAAAAATATTTTTTTTCCTAAAACGACACTTAAAAAAGAATGAAAGAAATATTATATATTAATATTACTCTTCATATTACTCGACCTGTGCATTTCTAACTAAATAATCATATTTTACTCATTAATATTTTATCTTAGTTTAGAATAAAGTACAACATATTATATAGGGTCGACATTTATATATGTCCAACGGGCATTACTTCCTAAAATCTAAAACTTGTAAAAAATTTATGATCACTCCATTAATGCCCGCGTCAACAAAAAAAACGGACCAAATATAATAAGGGGTGTGATCCCAAAAAATTATTACATTACTTTGATTTTTATTGGTTTTTATTTTAATTAAGAATTATATTTTTTTCTGAGTTAAAATTGTAATTAAAAATAATAATTAATTATCTCTAATATTATTTCAATTGATTGACTTATCTAAATTTATTATAACCAAAATATAGGTTAATTACTTGGTTTTTCTATTATTTAATTTATTTTTTCTATTAAAACAAAATGTCCGAGGAATCGAGACAAACTAATATTTCATATTATATTTTAATTTGATATTAAGAATATGTAAATTAAACACTTTCACATATCAATATATAAATGATATTTTTGAAAAAATAAATCTATTAAATTTATTGACATTTTTATTTAAAATATATGAAAAGTTTACTGTTGTTTATAATAAGAGAGAGATAGAGATGACAATGACCAGAATTTAAGCAAAATACTTATACTATTATATATTTATTATATGTCCATATATCATATTTTTCTTTGGACATCTTTATTTTTTAAAGTTGATATTTAATTCAATTAATATAATTTCATTGTACATTAGGGATGACAAATTATACTCATTCTCATCGGTTATCCTAAAAAATCACCTACAACGAGTAGGATATATATCGCAAAATAAATACGAGAATGTGCACGAAAAATTATCTACGAAAATAAGCGGATATAGACGCGAGTATGAGTACCTTAATACCCATCCCACCCAATACCCGCACAATATATTTTTATTTATTCTACTATATACACGTGTATGCTTATCAATTTTATTAAATACATCTCTTTTAAACTTATATATATTTTAATAAAAGTCTTTGTTTATTTCATAACTCAGCAATAATATTCTTGAATTTTTTTTAAATGTTAAAATTTTAAAATGACATAATTTATTATAATTGATCGATAAATTTTTATTAAAAACACAGATAAACAAATACAAATATGTGTACTACGATACTAATAAAGATACGTGTATGAGTACAAACATGAGTGTCCATGTGAATATGGACTTGGATACGAGAGTTTTTTCAAATTACACGTATTGGGACAGATACTATAATATCTTACTAAGATCCCGCCTATTTTCATCTCTATTGTACATCCTAACAAAACACCATTTCTTTCTAAGTTAAATTGATTTTTTTTCGTATATCTTTTATATATATATATATATATATTAATTATTATTATATTATATTTATTTATCATCTATAAAGATATTGTGTGATCTTTGTCAACGCATAAAATTATTATTAATTATAAAAAAATTCATATGAATTTTATATTTAAGGAGAAGATATTAATTTTATTTTATAAGTAAAAAAAAGTGAAAGTTACTATTGTAATTCTAAAATACTTTAAAAAAATACAAAATTGTTTTTTATATATGAAATTACAGGTGGTAGTTTTGGAAATTTATATTAAAAAAATGCGTGGTAAAAAAACTATTGAAAATTAGAGAATAGATGTCCAAAATTTAGGATTTGCAATTGAAAACCCTAAATACTTTTGCTGAATGTTAGGGTTTGACCGGTTTGTGATTGCGAGGACGCGTCACTGATCAAGAATTCAAATTCCAATTTCAAACCTATCAACGGAGAAGAACAGAATCACTGTCTCTGCTATATCGGTATTCTCTTCATCTTTCCACCTTTATTCTTTCTTCCTTTTCCCCCAAAATTCATGACTGTTTATTCCCCTAATTTTGCTGCACGCGCAGGTTTTTACTTGTCTGTTTTTCTCAACAGTTTCTTAATTTTTTTTATGGGTCTTTGTGTTTGAACTCAGATTTGAAATAAAGTATTGCTTTTTCGCTGAATTGCTTACTGTTTGTTTGCAGAGTAGCGTTTTAATGGTTGTTATCATTTTTGGAGATTTGATTTGCTAATTACATTGTATATGTGTTAATAGGGTTTTATCTTCATGTACTGATACCATGAAGAGGACATTGCCTTGGAGTGATGATGATGAGAGTGATGACTCATCGAATGACGAGTCGTCGTCTTTACATTCAGATTCTGAAGGTGATAATGAAACTGGAGGAAAAAAATCCAAAGGTAAATAATATCTTTTTAAGTATAACATTTAGCCAATTTTTCAACAATTCATTCATGTGTGATCTATGAAGCATTGGCACAGACACTAGACACAACACTGACGTTATGATATTGGTAATAATTGAATATTATCATATTAGTCGGTGTTATAACAGTGTTCAGACACCACGCCCTTGATTTAAAGTGTCGGTGCTACAGTGTGTGTGATACGTGCAAATAGGTATATGGACAAATGTACTCACTTCAATCTTGGATGTGTATAGGTTCTTAATGTGATTATGATCCCACACTTAGTGTTTGTGTTCTGTTTAATTAATATCTTAACACGAGAATGTGGATTGATACACATCCAAGTTATGAAACCTTGGTGTTGCTAGTTCCTTCACTTGTTGATTTGGTTATTTCTGATCATATTATTGATAAAGGAAAATTGGGCTTCATCTAAGGGTATAGATAAATTCATAACTTGATAAAATGACAATGATGAACCAATCTAATTATGTTGCAATTACCTTGAGATCATTTTGTGGCTGGCATTTGGTATGATAGAATAGAAGTTCTGACTAAAGCAGAATAGTTATTGATGGATAATAAGAGAAATTGCACAATGTGACGATGCCGTGCGATGGGCATCCTGATCGTGGAAGAGATTCCTTGTTATTGATATTCAGTGATTGCTGTTTTAGATTTAGTTGTTGGGGATATATGCCTATCTAGTGCTTCAGTCAGTGCAATGCAATATGGTTTTCTTACCCTGCTATACAGTTGTAGTAGACAGATAATATCTTTAATCTGATTGACTATTCGAATATTCCATCAGTTATGCTTATAATAGTCATTCTTTGATGTAATGCTTGTAATTTGACATCTTGAAAATTCTCACTAGTCATTCCTTGTGTTGCATATTCACTAGTTTAATGAACTTAGTGTCTGTAGGCAAATCTACAAAGAAGAAAAGTGCTCCAATTGACTTTGAAGCTCTCAAGCGATACGGGTATAAAGGCGGGCCTTCAGTCTTAAAGGTACCTCCACCTAAAGAAGATGACACAAAGAAAGATTGGTCTTGGTCCAGTGGAAAAGAAAAGCGTATCAACAAGGAAGTTGAAGAAACGTATGAAGAGCGGAAGAAAACAAGAGAGGCTCTTTCCCTAGGAGAGCAGCTGCCAACTGTTCTGACTAGGAATGAAAAGAAGAATCTTTCCTTTTCTCAGAAGGAAAAGAGGAAAAGGGAGCTTGGTCAAGCAAGCAGGGGGAAAAACTATGTTGAAGAAGAGAAAAGGCAGTTAAGGGAGAATGGAGTCTATTCCGGTTTTGATGCTTGATATGCTGAGGCTAGAATCTACTGCATCTTGTATAAAGGTTACTATATGATACTGTCCAGGGTCATTTTGTACTGAAATGTTTTGGTTTAGGTGATGTCTCTACTATAAATCTCATGTTAAGTCAAAACCATTTTAGATGATAAATGATTGAGGCTGGAACCTTTTATGGATAGCCAAAATTGAATGTCACATGACATCTTATCGATTAGTTTTGATCGTTCACAACTTGATCTCATGCCTATGGTATACACCTCCAATTCTTTCCGAAAAGACATTCTCCAGTATGATGATTTTTGGAAGTCTTAAATAAAAGTGATGGAGTAAGATTTAAAAAATAACGTGATAAGATAATTTTGTAAAATTGATTTCTCATAAATGACTTGAATGAGAATGATTTGTTTGGATATATGTACATAAAGAAATAAGTTGAACAGTGAAGTTGAAGTGTTGAACTACGACTTTTACTTCCATTTCCACTAGCTTAGTTTTTGAAACTTGAATGGGGTAATGTTTTTTTTTTTTTTTGGATTAATACCATATAAGTTTATTTAAAAATTTCATTACTCAAAAAAAGCATCCATCAAAATTATGGTATAAAAGTTTGTCAACCAAAATGATTGAAAAACTAACCTAATAATTGTTGGATTTCCTATTTATAGTACACATAATTTCTTGATTGTTCAACTAAAATAATTGTATCCTAAGCAAATACCAAGCCATGGTAACCTTTAGAAGAAAAACAACTCACCATATTCAACTCACCATATCCTACACAAAAATGCTAGCGACAAATACATAAATTTCTTTGTTTCCCTTGTTTTTTTGAGACAGAAAATCAATCCGGCAACTTGAATTTGCAGTTGGTTTATTGTTCCCACTAGTGCATTAGTGCATAATTTGAAGTGCTAAATCTTTTCTTAAATGGAAATTCTTCCTAGAAGAAGATGGAGAAGAAAATAGATCTTTATTAAAAGAGCAGGCAAAAACTCCTGATGGAAGAATAGATTAAAAAGAAATTTTAGTTTTGTTATTAATAACTGGAAGAACTACTTGCATTATTTTATTTCATCCATTGTAACAGAAGGATTTGAGCTACAAAGATTTTTCAACAAGCAATCAATTTGCAGGTGTTGTTCGTTGGTCTCTGTAGAAGCACACACGATTCCTTCATCTTTAACCGTCCATCCAGAATCAGATCCCCATTGTTAAACTCCTGGCTATAACTGTACTCTTGTATAATTTTATTGATCCTGCCCAAACATAACTCTCAAAATGTTAACTGAACATTTACACTACTGATAGAGGTGTGGCCACTGGCCACTGACAAAGAAGACACTAAGATAAAAAAAAAAACAGCCCAGATAAATTGTCATTTTCTCATGTGCACTTGATAAACCAAATTTGTTAACTACTCCCTCCGATCACTATTATAAGTAAATTTGACTTTTTTTTTATACATTTCATAATTAATGTATCTAGTTCATATAACTAGATATATTAATTATCAAATGTACTAAAAAAGTCAAATTTGCTTATCATAGTGACCAGAGAGAGTATATAAAGAAGACTTAAAATATTAAAAATCATATCTACAAAATGAAGTAAACATCAAAGAAGAATAAAGAGAATATATTTATTGATAATCTGCCATGCAATGATGTAATGGAAAAAAATAAAAGAACCAATGATATTTCTAGTATACCCAGGCTATGGCTAATGTGAAGAATAGCAAAGACAATAGACTAACCTTTACATTGAAGAGAACACTACCATCAGAAACCTGCTCCCCCACTGTAACTTGAAGCCCGTGCACAAAGCCAGAAGTTGGTGCCTTTACAACATGCTAGAGAAGTGCAAAATATTGTTGGTTATAACTTACTAAATATATAAACAAAGACACCAAAGAGAGAAGCTTCCGACATTTTACAGAGAAACAATACAAACCTCCATCTTCATCGCTTCTAATACTAACACAGGTTGGCCCACCTCTACTCTTGTCTCATTCTTTACTAGAACCTTAACCACCAAGCCTGCCATGGGTGCCACAACAGCCCCTTGAGGAATGGCTGATGATTCAGACTGGGGTTTATGTTGGGATTCATCATCCTGAGACAATTTGAGGTCTATTTTCTCTCTGAAATAATGATGAACGGACCCTTGCCAAATATGAATATGCCTCATTTGGTCCTGAATCCCAAGGGAAGGAAATCGAGAGAATATATTATGACATTTATATTTCACAACCAAGAGAATATAGCATCATTTTTTTTACCAATCTACAGACACTCCAAAAGCATCTATGCAGAGGAAGGAAAATACCTTTGAGTATGCAGCAAGATTAATATTGTTGATTACACCATCAGCTTCAACTCTAAAATGGTGATCTTTTACATATGTTGCCTTGACTTCTAAAACAGGGCTTCCATTTTCTTCTGTCTGGAAGTATACAATAACATCTTGACTCAACTTTTTAGAGAATTTTGGCATGATAAACCGTGGAAAAAATTATTGATTCATATGTTAGGTGATACCTCAATCAGGTATCTCCCATCAGGTTGGTAAGTGATAGTAAGCTTCAGGATCTTTGAGCTACCACTATCATACTCATTATCCCACTCAAGTTCTATTGTACGCTTAGCTTGATGATGGACTCTAAAAGGTGGTGAAGCATACCATATAGGGAGTAAGTTGCTGCCACCTGAACATACTAAGAGATGTAATTTACCTAAAAAACACACAAACAACTCAGAACATTATACAGCAAGAATAGGACAATACCAGGGTTTTTTTTGGCCGATATGAAATGCTCTTTCTCAACGAGACATGCAACCACAAGGGATGCACTGTGTCTAGCAGCCTCATATGCTTCTTTGGCAGACTCTGAATTTTTAGCATCAACAAATAGATCATCTTTATAATTATCAATAAAATGAGTCTCCACATTGCCATTTTCAAATGCCCAGTGATTTGCGAGCTTTAGGAGAAAGTTGACATTTGTTGGTAGACCTGCAACCTGTGCAAGATGTTAAAAACTTACCCACGGAGCATGACTTCTAAAAGATAGAATGCAGCTAGAAATTACGATTGATTTAAGATTACTTAAATTTCATTCTTCTACAGGAAGTGGTGGAATATGCCCGACTTTCTTACATATTTAACACTATTCCGCCCCATCGTGTCTAACCTCAGCCCCAAAGATGACAAATACAAGGTCTAACAAAGGACAACATAGCATCTTAATATGAAAAAACAGTCAATTTACTAATTAAGCCTCAATCATGATCACAATTATATCACATTTCCTATATCAAAAACAACACGAAAATTAGTACACTAACCTGAAAGTTTGACAAACTATCCTTCAGTTTGACCAATGCTGCAGCACGATTTTCTCCCTGCACCACAAGCTTAGCAATCATTGGATCATAGTGCATGCTAACAGCATCTCCTTCTCTAACTCCAGTATCCACCCGGACTGCCAAGATAGTAAATTTTCAGTTAGTAAAAAATAAAGTATCTTGGAATTTCATGTTCTTCCAACAGTAGAAAACAGGATAAATTTTCAGATTGACCATAAATTAATTACTAGGCTAACTTTGCACAACTTACCCCCTGATGAGTCCGGAACGTGATAATGGTGCAGTACTCCAGTTGCTGGAAGAAACCCTTTTGGAACATTTTCAGCATAGATTCGAGCTTCAAAAGCATGACCTGCTTTCACAACAGAGAATTATAATATAGATCAACTTCAAAGTCTAGACATAACAGACCGAACTTCACACACTCTCACAATAGTACAATAAATAACTAACAAGCTCAAAATCATTAACAAATGACTTATACAACCTAGTATATGATCTCATATTCAGAAAACCAGTTCTTTTTATGTCATTCTTAAGTAATTTCAGAGGATGTCATTAAGATGGCTTTCTCCAGCAATTAGTCATAAATACTAAATAGTAGTAAGATTTTTTTTTCTCCAGGCATAGTATTTGTCAAAATTTAGCAGTAAATACTATTACTGGATTTCCAATCACCCCACTCACAGAAAACTTAGTTCTTAAACTGATGTTTTCTCTCTTGCATCTTGAGAGAAACTAACCAAAATTAGAAGGGCATACTTAAGTCAACCACAGATCTGTAGAATTGTCAATTTGAGTTCTTTAAGTTTCATATGAAGTTAAGCAAAGTCAACTTAAGAAGTCCTTCACCCACAAATTAATTAAACAGGAGGGGGAACTAAGATATTAACCCCTACCCACCACCGAAAGAAAAGAGACAGGAAAAACCGAATCACCTAATATTGGTATCTGTGATTGACTCAACGGAAGAGGGTCTCCATTGGCAACATGGATTTGCCATTCAACAAGATCTTGACCAACAATCATCTCTGTGACAGGATGCTCAACCTGTACTAACATGCCCCATGTTATACTTCAGTAAGCCACAATTCTAGGAGAAAATGACAGTAAATATCAATCCAATCACCTGAAGACGGGTATTCATCTCCATAAAGTAAAACTGGCCAGAGACTGTATCAACTATAAACTCCACTGTCCCAGCATTGTAATAGTTAACTGCCTTCAGGCATCAGAAAGAAACAAGAAATCAGTAAATGCTATTGAATAGAATGAATATATTCAAACCACATGAATTATGAGATAAACAAAAGGAAAAGGATAAAGGGAACAGCTCCTAATTTCTAAAATATATTTTAATAAAGACCACGTATTAGTAATTGCAATTTAAAAGTAAAACAGGAAAGACATGTGCATGGGTTTAGCAGAAAGAAGTGCACATAACAATACCTGATGCTCAACAAGCAGAAAAATAAAGCATAAAAATTAAAGCCAAACAGTTTCATAAAAACTGCCAAAGATACTGTTAGTATGCCAAAACAGAACTGAAACAGAAACCTGAAAATAGCACCCAAATGACTGAATGAAACCAAATCAAAAGTAATGACTACGAGGTTGCAGAGCCAAGGCTCTTGAAACGAA